ATTGTTTATTATCATTATTATTGTTATTGATTATTATTATTGATTATTATTATTAATTATTATTATTGTTACTATTATTGTCATTATCATTATCGCTATCATTATCATTATTGATTTTTTTAGTATTATCGTTGTTATTATTATTGATTATCAAATTACAATTATTATTGTTTGCAGCTTCATCATATGCCTCGAGGTCGAAAACGCTCCGTTGTTGATGCATTTAAAATTAAGCATAAATCGGATAGTTTCGATGGTTATCGGCGTATTTCAAGTGATATACGAAACGCTTTATTAAATGATACTCAATGGAATTTCAATATTTTAAATTTGGAAAGAATTTCCGAAAATCATGCACTTTCACATTTAGGCACAAAGGTAAATGTTTGGAAAAAATTTTGGTGATTTCAAAAATTTTTCCAGATTAAATAATCTGTGAAATTTTATTATACCATATTTAAGCTTTCATACGTTATGACTATAATATACTAGTCATTTTCTATCAATTCTAATCATTTTTTACTTCCAAAATTGCTTCAAATACTTTTACTTTTACTATGCGAAATGTTATAGAATTAAAAAAAAAAGCAGGAAGAAAGAAAAAAGAATACAGAAACGATATGATCTGATAATTTGCTCGTTACCGTTTACGTGTTTTCCGTCAAAAAAAAAACCTTTCTGGTTCAATTTAGATATATTACAGATATTCGAACGTTGGAAGATTCATGAAACATTGAAATGTTCGATGGATTTAATTACTCGTTGGTTTGATGAGATTGAAGTTCATTATCATGCAGTAAATCCATATCATAATGCTACACATGCAGCCGATGTTTTACAGGTTAACATTTATTCCGGTTCATAATTATGAAAGAAAAACTTCATTTATTATTTAATACATTTCATGATATTACTATAAATTTCGGAATAATATATTTGATGCGGAAAAAATATTTATAGTCTGAATATTCTATTTTCTTTTTATTTAATAGCAAAAAAAATTTTTTTTTTTGCTTTTTGAAATTTGAAATATTTTTGCTTTTTTGAAAACATTCCTTTTTTTTTTCTTTCAATCCTTTAATATTATATTAAAATTGCTTGCATAATTTTGACATCAAAGTTCCATAAGATATTAAGTATGATAAACATACAATATGGTTAAACTATTAAATGCGCATATTTTGATGTCAAAGTTTCTGATTTCAATAATTCAGCTTATAAATCCCAACGTTTTTTTTTTCGCTCAAATATATGCTACTCATTTAATTTTAAATCAAATTATTAAAAGAATATTTATGTCGAAAGCTTTTTAAATACAATTTAAAAATTCATTACATATTTCAGGCTACGTCATTTTTTCTTGATTGTCCTACCGTTGCTCATTATGTACAGGAAACGCATGCTACTGCACTTTTAATAGCTGCCGCTGTTCATGATTTAGATCATCCCGGTCAGTAAAACAATCTGCTAATTTCAATCATTCCGATCGATATCTCTCAAATCATTCATATCTTAAATAATTCCCTTAGACAATTGTTTATTTCCAAAAATATTATTGGTAACTTAATCGATGGATTAATTTAAATTTAATAAAAAATAATTTGCGCTTAATTGATTAATTTCAAACAATAAATTGTAGCAAGATTTTAATATAAATTTTTATTTACTATAAAATTTTACAGCGTCCAGCAAAATTTGACAATCATATACTTTTTATTTTTCATGGCAAAATATTCTTTGAGTGACAACTAAGCCATTACTTTAGCAATTCTTTGCAAATGTGATGCATTATAAAATGCAATAGTATGATGTCATTTAATGACAGTTCAATTAGAAAAAAAAATTTTTCGAAAATGTCAAACTTAACATATATATTCGTGCAGCAATCATTTGCAATAATATATCTAAAATTTTGAAAAAATTTATATTTCCAAAAAAAACGGATTTTAAAACATAGCAATGTTTTTTTTTTTAAATATGCAAAATCATTATAAAACAATTTATTAATTACTACATGTATGTTCAAAAAATTAACTTAACTACAATATGCAATAATTATTATCAGACAGTTATTAACTCCTATTAATGACTACTTTTACACTCAAATTATGAAACAATTAGTCACTTTTTTATGAAACAATTAATTACTACTTGTATACTCAAGAAAGTAAATTTCAAAACAATTAATATTTTTTTAATAAACATTCAATAATAATCATACTGCTATATGTAGTAAAATTACTACTTATATATTCAAAAAAAAAAAATAAATTACACTCAGAATCTTTTTAATAAATATGCAATAATCATTAACAAACAATTGATTAATCAATACTTGTATGCTCAAAAAAAGTGAATTTCAAAATATAAGAATGTCTTTTTAATAAATATATCAAGTGATCATTAGTATTATATAAAACAATTAATTAATTAATTATTAATTATGTACTCAAAAAATGAATTTCAGGACGTGGTAATGCTTTTTTAATAAATACTCAACAACCGTTGGCATTGTTATACAACGATCAATCAGTACTGGAAAATCATCACATCGCATTAGCATTTCAACTTACCTTACAAAGTACCAATAATATTAATATATTTGCTGGACTTACACGGGAAGAATTTGCAGCATTACGACAAGCTACTGTTGAAATGGTTTTAGCTACCGATATGAGTCGACATTTCGAATATTTAACAAAATTTCAACAAGTTGTTTCAAATTTAAAGGTATTAATTATTCTTAATAAAACTTTTTAACAGTTGTTTAAAATTTAAATATATTACTCTTTCTTTTGTTATCCTTTTTATTGCTAATCTTTCTTTTTTTTGCTTTTATTTTCAAATATAATTAAAATTATTTTTAATCAAAATTTTTTCACGTTTATCATCTTAACTGTTTTAATGATAGCAAAGCATAATTTTAAAATGACAAATAAAACATGACAGTATTCCCAAATGATTATTCTGTGATAGCAAGAAAATATGAATTTTTGAGAGAAAAAAAAATGAAAAAATTATATGCAGCTCAATCTTTCATTTTTTAGATTTCATGAAATTTTCCAAAAAAAAAAACTATTTCTATAAATTATGGTAATATCTACCTGTCCCTAATTAGCTATAGTAAAATTGTATATTTAAAATTATTTTTCTTTTCAGAAAATTTTCCATAATTGATTTCTTGAAATATTTTGAATAGAAATTTCATCTTTAATTTTACTTTGTTCTAAAAATTGAGTTGGAACAATTAAACATTTGAATTAGAATAATTTGGCATTTTTTTTTGTTGCCTACGGTTTCTTATTTCCTTAAGCATAGAAAAAAATTTTTGCAATCACTTTTTTTTTTTAAAAAAAAAATCGAATTCAAAAATTTGTTCTTTGCAATAATTCATTTAGTTTATCACCACAAATTTTATTAATTTGATATTTCATTTTTTGAAAATAATTTTTAGAGAAATATTGCGGAGAAAATGATGGAAAATTTTTAAATATTTTTATTTTAAATGTTAATTTAACAAAAAATGAAAGAGAGAAATTTTTTAGGATAATGAAGAAAATGAGAATAATGTATCGTTGACGATATGTCGAATGCTAATTAAATGTGCGGATATCGCAAATCCGACAAGGGAATGGGAATTATGCGAAAAATGGGCAATGCGTATTGTGGAAGAATATTTTGATCAGGTTCTTCTGTATTTCATTAATTTAATATTAATTAATGAGTTATGAAATAATTTAGTATGATTAATATAGGAATAAATTATTATGAGCAAAGTAGAATTATCGATTAATAAATTACGGAATAATTTGCCATTATAAATATAAGAAAGGAATGTGTTATACTTGATTTAATTTTATCTGTAATTTATTGATTTATAAATTAAGAAATAATTTAATACCATTGGTTTAATACTTAATGCCCACCAGTAAACATAAATTAAAAATTATATAACAATAAATGTTAATCATAATTTTCATCATTTTCTTTTTTTCATTAATAATTTGTTGATTTTCATCATTGAAATAAAAATTTTCTTTTATTTTTTAAGTACATTTTTAA